GAAGGGATGGAGAGCTGAGTGATGTGAATTCTAGTGATGTTCTGGAAGGGATAGAGAGTGGAGTGATGTGAATTCTAGTGATGTTCTAGAAGGGACAGAGAGCTGAATGATGTGAATTCTAGTGATGTTCTAGAAGGGATCGAGAGCTGAGTGATGTGAATTCTAGTGATGTTCTAGAAGGGATGGAGAGCTGAGTGATGTGAATTCTAGTGATGTTCTAGAAGGGATAGAGAGTGGAGTGATGTGAATTCTAGTGATGTTCTAGAAGGGATAGAGAGCTGAGTGATGTGAATTCTAGCGATGTTCTAGAAGGGATAGAGAGCTGAGTGATGTGAATTCTAGTGATGTTCTAGAAGGGATGGAGAGCTGAGTGATGTGAATTCTAGTGATGTTCTAGAAGGGATAGAGAGCTGAGTGATGTGAATTCTAGTGATGTTCTAGAAGGGACAGAGAGCTGAGTGATGTGAATTCTAGTGATGTTCTAGAAGGGATAGAGAGCTGAGTGATGTGAATTCTAGCAATGTTCTAGAAGGGATGGAGAGCTGAGTGATGTGAATTCTAGCGATGTTCTAGAAGGGATAGAGAGCTGAGTGATGTGAATTCTAGTGATGTTCTAGAAGGGATAGAGAGCTGAGTGATGTGAATTCTAGTGATGTTCTAGAAGGGATAGAGAGCTGAGTGATGTGAATTCTAGTGGTGTTCTGGAAGGGACAGAGAGCTGAGTGATGTGAATTTTAGTGATGTTCTAGAAGGGATAGAGAGCTGAGTGATGTGAATTCTAGTGATGTTCTAGAAGGGATGGAGAGCTGAGTGATGTGAATTCTAGCGATGTTCTAGAAGGGACAGAGAGCTGAGTGATGTGAATTCTAGTGGTGTTCTAGAAGGGATAGAGAGCTGAGTGATGTGAATTCTAGAGATGTTCTAGAAGGGATATAGAGCTGAGTGATGTGAATTCTAGCAATGTTCTAGAAGGGATGGAGAGCTGAGTGATGTGAATTCTAGTGATGTTCTAGAAGGGACAGAGAGCTGAGTGATGTGAATTCTAGTGATGTTCTAGAAGAGATAGAGAGTTGAGTGATGTGAATTCTAGTGATGTTCTGGAAGGGATAGAGAGCTGAGTGATGTGAATTCTAGTGATGTTCTAGAAGGGATAGAGCGCTGAGTGATGTGAATTCTAGTGATGTTCTAGAAGGGATAGAGAGCTGAGTGATGTGAATTATAGTGATGTTCTAGAAGGGATAGAGAGCTGAGTGATGTGAATTCTAGTGATGTTCTAGAAGGGATAGAGAGCTGAGTGATGTGAATTCTAGCGATGTTCTAGAAGGGATAGAGAGCTGAGTGATGTGAATTCTAGTGATGTTCTAGAAGGGATAGAGAGCTGAGTGATGTGAATTTTAGTGATGTTCTAGAAGGGATAGAGAGCTGAGTGATGTGATTTCTAGCGATGTTCTAGAAGAGATAGAGAGCTGAGTGATGTGAATTCTAGTGATGTTCTAGAAGGGATAGAGAGCTGAGTGATGTGAATTCTAGTGGTGTTCTAGAAGGGATAGAGAGCTGAGTGATGTGAATTCTAGTGATGTTCTAGAAGGGATGGAGAGCTGTGTGATGTGAATTCTAGTGATGTTCTAGAAGGGACAGAGAGCTGAATGATGTGAATTCTAGTGATGTTCTAGAAGGGATAGAGAGCTGAGTGATGTGAATTTTTGTGATGTTCTGGAAGGGATAGAGAGCTGAGTGATGTGAATTCTAGCGATGTTCTAGAAGGGACAGAGAGCTGAGTGATGTGAATTCTAGTGATGTTCTAGAAGGGACAGAGAGCTGAGTGATGTGAATTCTAGTGATGTTCTAGAAGGGATGGAGAGCTGAGTGATGTGAATTCTAGTGATGTTCTGGAAGGGATAGAGAGTGGAGTGATGTGAATTCTAGTGATGTTCTAGAAGGGACAGAGAGCTGAATGATGTGAATTCTAGTGATGTTCTAGAAGGGATCGAGAGCTGAGTGATGTAAATTCTAGGTGATGTTCTAGAAGGGATGGAGAGCTGAGTGATGTGAATTCTAGTGATGTTCTAGAAGGGATAGAGAGTGGAGTGATGTGAATTCTAGTGATGTTCTAGAAGGGATAGAGAGCTGAGTGATGTGAATTCTAGTGATGTTCTAGAAGGGATAGAGAGCTGAGTGATGTGAATTCTAGTGATGTTCTAGAAGGGATGGAGAGCTGAGTGATGTGAATTCTAGTGATGTTCTAGAAGGGATAGAGAGCTGAGTGATGTGATTCTAGTGATGTTCTAGAAGGGACAGAGAGCTGAGTGATGTGAATTCTAGTGATGTTCTAGAAGGGATAGAGAGCTGAGTGATGTGAATTCTAGCAATGTTCTAGAAGGGATGGAGAGCTGAGTGATGTGAATTCTAGCGATGTTCTAGAAGGGATAGAGAGCTGAGTGATGTGAATTCTAGTGATGTTCTAGAAGGGATAGAGAGCTGAGTGATGTGAATTCTAGTGATGTTCTAGAAGGGATAGAGAGCTGAGTGATGTGAATTCTAGTGGTGTTCTGGAAGGGACAGAGAGCTGAGTGATGTGAATTTTAGTGATGTTCTAGAAGGGATAGAGAGCTGAGTGATGTGAATTCTAGTGATGTTCTAGAAGGGATGGAGAGCTGAGTGATGTGAATTCTAGCGATGTTCTAGAAGGGACAGAGAGCTGAGTGATGTGAATTCTAGTGATGTTCTAGAAGGGATGGAGAGCTGAGTGGTGTGAATTCTAGTGATGTTCTAGAAGGGATAGAGAGCTGAGTGATGTGAATTCTAGCGGTGTTCTAGAAGGGATAGAGAGCTGAGTGATGTGAATTCTAGTGATGTTCTAGAAGGGATAGAGAGCTGAGTGATGTGATTTCTAGCGATGTTCTAGAAGGGATAGAGAGCTGAGTGGTGTGAATGCTAGCGATGTTCTAGAAGGGATAGAGAGCTGAGTGATGTGAATTCTAGCGAGGTTCTAGAAGGGATAGAGAGCTGAGTGATGTGAATTCTAGTGATGTTCTAGAAGAGATAGAGAGATTAGTGATGTGAATTCTCGTGATGTTCTAGAAGGGATAGAGACCTGAGTGATGTGAATTCTAGCGGTGTTCTAGAAGGGATAAAGAGTTGAGTGATGTGAATTCTAGTGATGTTCTGGAAGGGATAGAGAGCTGAGTGATGTGAATTCTAGCGATGTTCTAGAAGGGATAGAGAGCTGAGTGATGTGAATTCTAGTGATGTTCTAGAAGGGACGGAGAGCTGAGTGATGTGAATTCTAGTGATGTTCTAGAAGGGATAGAGAGCTGAGTGATGTGAATTTTTGTGATGTTCTGGAAGGGATAGAGAGCTGAGTGATGTGAATTCTAGTGATGTTCTAGAAGGGATATAGAGCTGAGTGATGTGAATTCTAGTGATGTTCTTGAATGGATAGAGAGCTGAGTGATGTGATTTCTAGCGATGTTCTAGAAGGGATTGAGAGCTGAGTGATGTGAATTCTAGCGGTGTTCTAGAAGGGATGGAGAGCTGAGTGATGTGAATTCTAGTGATGTTCTAGAAGGGATAGAGAGCTGAGTGATGTGAATTCTAGTGATGTTCTAGAAGGGATAGAGAGCTGAGTGATGTGAATTCTAGAGATGCTCTGGAAGGGATAGAGAGCTGAGTGATGTGAATTCTAGTGATGTTCTGGAAGGGATAGAGAGCTGAGTGATGTGAATTCTAGCGGTGTTCTGGAAGGGATAGAGAGCTGAGTGATGTGAATTCTAGAGATGTTCTAGAAGGGATGGAGAGCTGAGTGATGTGAATTCTAGTGATGTTCTAGAATGGATTGAGAGCTGAGTGATGTGAATTCTAGTGATGTTCTAGAAGGATCGAGAGCTGAGTGATGTGAATTATCGCGATGTTCTAGAAGGGATAGAGAGCTGAGTGATGTGAATTCTAGCGATGTTCTAGAAGGGATAGAGAGCTGAGTGATGTGAATTTTAGCGATGTTCTGGAAGGGATAGAGAGCTGAGTGATGTGAATTCTAGAGATGTTCTAGAAGGGATAGAGAGCTGAGTGATGTGAATTCTAGTGATGTTCTAGAAGGGACAGAGAGCTGAGTGATGTGAATTCTAGAGATGTTCTAGAAGGGATAGAGAGCTGAGTGATGTGAATTCTAGCCATGTTCTAGAAGGGATAGAGAGCTGAGTGATGTGAATTCTAGCGGTGTTCTGGAAGGGATAGAGAGCTGAGTGATGTGGGGAGCGGTGGGACAGCGGTTAGCGCTCCACTAACACCAATTCAGTAGTGATAGCCATAAATCTGAACCGGTCCTGGACCTCCCCTAGGTCGACTCGGCCTCAAATGAGTTCCCGGTGCGGTGTGCAGTAAACATCACCACTGGGGGAGACAAAGGCGGCCGGGCGTGGTGCTGGCCACCCACCCCCTCGTGTGCCGTGCCGGCCTTCATAGGTGCTGCTACTCGCTACTAACAGCACTTGCCCCAACAGGCTGTTGAGGCTACACGGGGGATCTTTGTCTTTTGCGAATAACAATCAACACATTTGCAATCATCATGCTGACAATGATGGGGGTGGTCTTGCTGATGATGGTGGTGATTATGGACGTGATGATGGTGGTGGTGATGATGATGATGGTGGTGGTGATGGTGGTGGTGATGATGGTAATCATGGAGGTGATGATGATGGTGGTGGTGGTGGTGATGATGATGGTGGTGATTATGGACGTGATGGTGGTGGTGGTGGTGGTGATGATGTTGGTGGTGATGATGGTAATCATGGAGGTGATGATGATGGTGGTGGTGGTGATGATGATGGTGGTTGTGATGGTGGTGATTGTGATGATGGTGGTGATGATGATGGTGGTGATGATGGTGATGATGATGGTGGTGATGGTGGTGATGATGGTGGTGGTGATGGTGGTGATGATGGTGGTGGTGGTGATGATGATGGTGGTGGTGATGGTGGTGATGATGGTGATGTTAAGCTTACCATTCTGTCGGTCTCCATCTCCCCGTGTGTCTATGTGTGTCTCTGTGTGTCTCTGTGCGTCTTTGTCTCCCCGTGTGTCTCTGTGTGTCTCTGTCTCCCCGTGTGTCTCTGTGTGTCTCTGTCTCCCCGTGTGTCTCTGTGTGTCTCTGTCTCCCCGTGTGTCTCTGTGTGTCTCTGTCTCCCCGTGTGTCTCTGTGTGTCTCTGTGTGTATGTGTCTCCCCGTGTCTCCCCGTGTGTCTCCCCGTGTGTCTCTGTCTCCCCGTGTCTCCCCGTGTGTCTCCGTATGTCTCTGTCTCCCCGTGTGTCTCTGTGTGTGTCTCTCTCAGTGTCTCTGTGTGTGTGTCTCTGTGTGTGTCTCTCTGTGTCTCTGTGTCTGTTTCTCTGTGTATCTGTGTGTGTCTCTGTGTGTGTATGTCTCTATGTGTGTGTCTCTGTGTCTGTGTGTGTGTGTGTCTCTGTGTGTCTCTGTGTGCGTGTCTCTGTGTCTGTGTGTCGCTCAGTGTCTCTGTGTGTGTCTCTCTGCGTCTCTGTCTCCCTGTCTCCCTGTGTGTCTCTGTGTGTGTGTCTGTGTGTGTGCGTCTCTGTCTCCCTGTCTCCCTGTGTGTCTCTGTGTGTGTCTGTGTGTGTGTGTCTCTGTGTGTGTCTCTCAGTGTCTCTGTGTGTCTCTCTGCGTCTCTGTGTGTGTCTCTCTGCGTGTGTCTCTGTGTGTGTGTCTCTGTGTCTGTGTGTGTGTGTCTCTCTGCGTCTCTGTGTCTGCCTCTCTGCGTCTCTCTGCGTCTCTCTGTGTCTCTGTCTCTCTGCGTCTCTCTGTGTCTCTGTCTCTCTGCGTCTCTGTGTGTGTCTCTCTGCGTGTGTCTCTGTGTGTGTGTCTCTGTGTCTGTGTGTGTGTGTCTCTCTGCGTCTCTGTGTCTGCCTCTCTGCGTCTCTCTGCGTCTCTCTGTGTCTCTGTCTCTCTGCGTCTCTCTGTGTCTCTGTCTCTCTGCGTCTCTGTGTGTGTCTCTCTGCGTGTGTCTCTGTGTGTGTGTCTCTGTGTCTGTGTGTGTGTGTCTCTCTGCGTCTCTGTGTCTGCCTCTCTGCGTCTCTCTGCGTCTCTCTGTGTCTCTGTCTCTCTGCGTCTCTCTGTGTCTCTGTCTCTCTGCGTCTCTCCGCAGTCTGGATTCTCTCGCGCCGAGTCTCCTTTATAGAGACGTTGACTGCCCCCTCCCCTCCCCCCGTGTCTCCCTCCCCCTCGCTCCCCATTCATCCCCGATCTCTCCCTCCGCTCTCTCCCTCTCTCCCCTTGTCTCTCTCCCTCTCTCCCCACGTGTCTCTCTCCCCCCGTGTCTCTCTCCCCACGTGTCTCTCTCCCCGTGTCTCTCTCCCTCTCTCTCCCCGTGTCTCCCCGTGTCCTTCTCCCCGTGTCTCTCTCCTCGTGTCTCTCCCCCCGTGTCTCTCTACCCACGTGTCTCTCTACCCACGTGTCTCTCTCCACGTGTCTCTCTCCCCCCGTGTCTCTCTACCCACGTGTCTCTCTACCCACGTGTCTCTCTCCCCACGTGTCTCTCTCCCCACGTGTCTCTCTCCCCACGTGTCTCTCTCCCCGTGTCTCTCTCCCCCCGTGTCTCTCTCCCCACGTGTCTCTCTCCCCCCGTGTCTCTCTCCCCGTGTCTCTCTCCCCCCGTGTCTCTCTCCCCACGTGTCTCTCTCCCCGTGTCTCTCTCCCTCTCTCTCCCCGTGTCTCCCCGTGTCCTTCTCCCCGTGTCTCTCTCCTCGTGTCTCTCCCCCCGTGTCTCTCTACCCACGTGTCTCTCTACCCACGTGTCTCTCTCCACGTGTCTCTCTCCCCCCGTGTCTCTCTACCCACGTGTCTCTCTACCCACGTGTCTCTCTACCACGTGTCTCTCTCCACGTGTCTCTCTCCA